GGGACCAATGAACAGTGATACCAATGAACAGCGGGACCAATGAACAGTGGGACCAATGAACAGTGGGACCAATGAACAGTGGGACCAATGAACAGTGATACCAATGAACAGCGGGACCAATGAACAGTGGGACCAATGAACAGTGAGACCAATGAACAGCGAGACCAATGAACAGTGAGACCAATGAACAGCGGGACCAATGAACAGTGAGACCAATGAACAGTGAGACCAATGAACAGCGAGACCAATGAACAGCGGGACCAATGAACAGTGGGACCAATGAACAGCGAGACCAATGAACAACGAGACCAATGAACAGCGAGACCAATGAACAGCGGGACCAATGAACAGTGGGACCAATGAACAGTGAGACCAATGAACAGCGAGACCAATGAACAGTGAACCGCTTTAAATAGAGACATCAGTAAACAGTGATACGATACGACTGAATTGGGAATGGTCTCTCTGAATCGACATTTGACATTATTCTTAATGGGCGCCATTTATTATGTTTCCTCTGCCCCTGCCCCCTCCCCATCCCCATTCCCCTTAAACCATTTATATAAGACTCGCGTCGTCAGGTACAGCAGTTCCCAGAGGCCAATGAATTATTAATATTCTCCTTATCCGAGTATTCTCCTCGTAATACATATCCGAGTATTCTCAGAGTATTCTCCTCGTAATACATATCCGAGTATTCTCAGAGTATTCTACTCGTAATACATGTGGAGAATACATAAAGTTCACGGGGGATTCTGTAACTGATGAGGATCCTCATAATTGATGGTAATGATTGTGACTCACGTAATTTAGATTGCAAAAATTGCAAAACAATTATGCAACGTAAATACACTCAGGCGGGACTTGAGCAAATTGAACAAACATTAAGAGATAACATTTAATTTGGTAAATGTATATATATCTGACATGATGGTTTATATAGTTTGAATGTTGTGATAAAACATGTGCATGGGTAATAAAATTAGTGGAGGGGGGGGGGTGAGGAGGGGGAAGGGGAGTTTCGGGAGGGGGGGGTAGTTATGGGTGTGTGTTGACTATTTTGATGTTTACAATTTGTGCCTGCAGGATCGGGCATTAGCTCTTGGACCCCGCTTTTCTATCCCCCCAGTTGTGTAATGCAATGAGTCCTGGCCTGCTTCCTTGTATTATCTACTTTTGAAATTATGAATGGAGTTTGCTTATATAGCTAACTTCATTCTATAGCAATTATTAACATAGTTTGCTCCTATAGTTCATTTCAGTTTGCCTCTATGTTGCTAAATGAAAACTTTCTAACGTCTCTACAACTCGTTAGCCTCTCAAGCTTCTATAAATAGCCTCTTGTTCTATTGAAATTCATTGGGATTCACTTTCGCTTTGATGCCCAAAGGGTTTGGAAAGGATGGGGAAGGTAGAGGGATGGGGAGGTGGAATTCTGGAAGAGAATGTGGGTATAATGAGGTTTGAAAGTTGGGTTGCCTGTCCACCATGGGTTGGCATGTGTGTGTGTGTCGTTTGTTTGGGTATGTGGTATGTTGGGTTGTCAGTATATTGGCTGGGGGGGGGGGTGACCAGTGTTTGTGTTCGAGCTAGTGTCTGGAAGCCCTAGAGCCGCTGGAGCTGTCTGCGGGAGATAAATCTTAGCAGCATCAGGGTAGTTACTCTTCTGGCAGCACAAACAAAAATGTTTTTTTTTATTTATTTTTTTATTAATTTTGTTTTTATTTATTGATTCTTAGGTATAAATCGGGTCCGGGATGGGTCACTCATCCGGTCGTCTGTCAGACTACTTGAGATTTGAGGTCTCGTGAAGGCCTAATCAAGGATGTGTCTGATGACATACTGTTGGAGAGTGATTCTTGTGGTTGTGTGGTGGTGGTTCACGGACCTCGTAGTCGCTGGTGGTGTTTACTGCTACGTGGGGGATCTTCGGGGTCTGGGACTGATGACATACTGTTGGAGAGTGATTCTTGTGGTTGTGTGAGGTGGTTCACGGACCTCGTAGTCGCTGGTGGTGTTTACTGCTTCGTGGGGGATCTTCGGGGTCTGGGACATACATGTGCTTCATGCGGTACAGCTGTCTTCTGGCCAGGTAGCTGAGCCTGGTGTTCGTTGGCATCATGTTGAGAGAGTCATGGATTTGGTTTGTTCTTACCCTGTCCATCAGCGACTCTTGAAATAACAACAAACAACGTAGTTGTTGTTGTTTTAGATTCAGCTGCTCGAAACGTAAGTTCAGAGCAGCACGGGCTATGGTGAGCCCGTAGTGGACTAAACAACATAAAGTAGCCGTGTATATACACACACAGCATTAAGACAGCTCCTCACTTGGAACAGTCAACGAGAACAACAGGGATCACACGTAGTGTCAATCTGGACGCCGCTACCAATCACAAATCCTCTTTCCAAGAACTTTCGCTAATGAAATGAAATTGGATCCGGAGCGTACACTCCATTACGAGCGTGCATATTACATGGTATTACAATTGGTTATCGGAGAGGAACCTTACCAATGTGCAGAGAATTTTCAAGCCCAAGAATAACAAAACATTGGCTATCGCGCCACTTTTAACAGAATTCTGATATTGATAACCTATAAATGTCAATGATTAATTTTGTTTATCCTTCATATTAAGTATCTCGCACTTCATATTAAGTATCATATTAAGTATCAATATATATGGTATTGTGTAAATAAGTTATCACCAGAAGGGTACCTATTTACAGTTACCTAACAGTAATTACGTACCTGGGAGTTAGTCAGCTGTCACAGGCTGCTTCCTGGGAGTGGAGGCCTGGTCGAGGCCCGGGCCGCGGGGATACTAAGCCCCGAAATCATCTCAAGATAACTTCAAGATAAGATACCCACTTCAAGACCTCGAACCAACACAGAAGCAAGAAGATAAAACACCCAATCGTGTACCCAATGATCCACTTGTTCATCTTAATCATGTCCTGTGTCACCTCACCCCAAACTAATATAAGCATTGGCAGAGTATGTAAAAATTGTCTTTAAAAACGTAAGAAGTGTCCTGCGAAACGCTTCTAGGCGTCAGACCATAAATAAAGTCTGAGAATTAACTTGGGAGAGTTAATTTTTCAACTACCCTCGACAGTGAAGAAAAACATAAGAAATATTGAGAAGTTTCGCGTTAGAATCATTAATCACCCCTATCGGTCATATTTAACAACATAAGACTGCTATTATTTTTATATATATATATATATATATATATATATATATATATATATATATATATATATATATATATATATATATATATATATATATAAAATTCAAAAAACCTGAAAGCCTCTGCATGTGTAAATCTATTTTTATTTAGGGGCTGGAGGGGGGTGAGGTGGGGGGAGGGGAGGGGGGGTGCCCCATCGTGCTGTCAGGACCACTCCGCACCTCCTCCACGTTGCTTGGGTTCCGTTTTATTTCCTCAATCCCTTATGCCTTCGTCATTGTAAGTTTATACACGCGGGCACGTCGTGGTGCAGCGGTAGCGAGCATCTGCAACACTGTCAGACCGCCCCGGTTCGAGTCTCGCTGTGCTCATTTTGAACATTTGATCACGACGTTGCATTCAACAAGCACTGAAAACTGTTGGTGACATTGACATGCAATTGAAATAAAAATGATATTTCGAACGGCCCAGTCGACCAGCTTGCACATACGCTGCCGTCACTGTGGGCGACGGGTATGTAGAGTGTGACTTAACACGTGTACTCACCTATATGTACTCACCTATATGTGCTTGCAGGATCGAGCATTGACTCTTGGATCCCGCCTTTCTAGCTATCGGTTGTTTACAACAATGACTCCTGTCCCATTTCCCTATCATACCTAGTTTTAAAAGTATGAATAGTATTTGCTTCCACAACCTGTTCCCCAAGTGCATTCCATTTTTCTACTACTCTCACGCTAAAAGAAAACTTCCTAACATCTCTGTGACTCATCTGAGTTTCCAGTTTCCACCCATGTCCCCTCGTTCTGTTATTATTACGTGTGAACATTTGATCTATTTCCACTTTGTCAATTCCCCTGAGTATTTTATATGTCCCTATCATATCTCCTCTCTCCCTTCTTTTCTCTAGTGTCGTAAGGTTCAGTTCCTTCAGCCGCTCTTCATATCCCATCCCTCGTAGCTCTGGGACAAGCCTCGTCGCAAACCTCTGAACCTTCTCCAGTTTCTTTATGTGTTTCTTCAGGTGGGGGCTCCATGATGGCGCGGCATACTCTAAGACGGGTCTCACGTAGGCAGTGTAAAGCGCCCTAAAAGCTTCCTCATTTAGGTTTCTGAATGAAGTTCTAATTTTCGCCAGTGTAGAGTACGCTGCTGTCGTTATCCTATTTATATGTGCCTCAGGAGTTAGATTAGGTGTCACATCCACTCCCAGGTCTCTTTCTCGAATCGTTACAGGTAGGCTGTTCCCCTTCATTGTGTACTGTCCCTTTGGTCTCCTGTCACCTGATCCCATTTCCATAACTTTACATTTACTGGTGTTAAACTCCAGTAGCCATTTCTCTGACCATCTCTGCAGCCTGTTTAAGTCCTCTTGGAGGATCCTACAATCCTCGTCTGTCACAACTCTTCTCATTAATTTTGCGTCATCTGCAAAACACACACACACACACACACACACACGTGTGTGTGTGTGTGTGTGTGTGTGTGTGTGTGTGTGTGTGTGTGTGTGTGTGTGTGTGTGTGTGTGTGTGTGTCTGTGTGTGTGTCTTCGTGCTAAACAGTAAACATCTTGAGACATCGAAATGACATAGAAGTTAAACATAGTTCATGATCAAGAGGGAAGGGAGAGGAGGGAGGGAATAGAGAAGGAGAGGAATGGAGGGAGGGAGAGAGAGGGAGGGATACCGCACCATTCACCCACCCTTATCTCTCCGCCTGTGCTTCCTGTAAGTCTACTGTGTTATCAAGATACGAGTCTTCAGAGAAATGAGCCTCGCGACCTCTCACCATAACACTACCGAAAGAATGTATACAAAAACTAAGACACCTACACAAAGGTCACGTACACAAAGGTCACGTGCACAAATGTCACGTGCACAAAAGGTCACGTACACAAAAGGTCACATACACAAAGGTCACGTACACAAAGGTCACGTACACAAAGGTCACGTACACAAAAGTCACGTACACAAAAGGTCACGTACACAAAGGTCACATACACAAAGGTCACGTACACAAAGGTCACGTACACAAAAGTCACGTACACAAAAGGTCACGAACACAAAGGTCACGTACACAAAAGTCACGTACACAAAAGGTCACGAACACAAAGGTCATATACACAAAGGTCACGTACACAAAAGGTCACGTACACAAAGGTCACGTACACAAAAGTCACGTACACAAAAGGTCACGAACACAAAGGTCATATACACAAAGGTCACGTACACAAGTCACGTACACAAAAGGTCACGAACACAAAGGTCATATACACAAAGGTCACGTACACAAAAGTCACGTACACAAAGGTCACGTACACAAAAGTCACGTACACAAAGGTCACGTACACAAAAGTCACGTACACAAAAGTCACGTACACAAAAGTCACGTACACAAAGGTCACGTACACAAAAGGTCACGAACACAAAGGTCATATACACAAAGGTCACGTACACAAAAGTCACGTACACAAAAGTCACGTACACAAAGGTCACGTACACAAAGGTCACGTACACAAAAGTCACGTACACAAAAGTCACGTACACAAAGGTCACGTACACAAAAGTCACGTACACAAAAGTCACGTACACAAAGGTCACGTACACAAAGGTCACGTACACAAAAGTCACGTACACAAAAGTCACGTACACAAAGGTCACGTACACAAAAGTCACGTACACAAAAGTCACGTACACAAAGGTCACGTACACAAAGGTCACGTACACAAAAGTCACGTACACAAAAGTCACGTACACAAAGGTCACGTACACAAAGGTCACGTACACAAGTCACGTACACAAAAGTCACGTACACAAAGGTCACGTACACAAAAGTCACGTACACAAAGGTCACGTGCACAAAGGTCACGTGCACAAAGGTCACGTACACAAAAGTCACGTACACAAAAGGTCACGTGCACAAAGGTCACGTGCACAAAGGTCACGTACACAAAGGTCACGTGCACAAAGGTCACGTGCACAAAGGTCACGTGCACAAAGGTCACGTACACAAAGGTCACGTACACAAAGGTCACGTACACAAAGGTCACAAAGCACCTTATAAACAAATTACATTATGATCTAACACAGAAGGCAGAATTTTTTTTGTATTCTAAACTACAAAAGTACAGAGTCATTTGTTGTCACCTTTTCAAGTACAGTGTCATCTGGTCACTGTACAGTGTCATCTGTCACTGTACAGTGTCATCTGGTCACTGTACAGTGTCATCTGGTCACTGTACAGTGTCATCTGGTCACTGTACAGTGTCATCTATCACTGTACAGTGTCATCTGGTCACTGTACAGTGTCATCTATCACTGTACAGTGTCATCTGGTCACTGTACAGTGTCATCTGGTCACTGTACAGTGTCATCTGGTCACTGTACAGTGTCATCTGGTCACTGTACAGTGTCATCTGGTCACTGTACAGTGTCATCTGGTCACTGTACAGTGTCATCTGGTCACTGTACAGTGTCATCTGGTCACTGTACAGTGTCATCTGGTCACTGTACAGTGTCATCTGTCACTGTACAGTGTCATCTGGTCACTGTACAGTGTCATCTGGTCACTGTACAGTGTCATCTGGTCACTGTACAGTGTCATCTGGTCACTGTACAGTGTCATCTGGTCACTGTACAGTGTCATCTGTCACTGTACAGTGTCATCTGTCACTGTACAGTGTCATCTGTCACTGTACAGTGTCATCTGTCACTGTACAGTGTCATCTGGTCACTGTAGTGTCATCTTCCGGAAGCACTTGTTCCGGAAGTGTTCGAACGTCATCAGTTGTGTGTAAACCGTTTTTCGTTCATAAACATTGGGTTTGGCGGGTGGATGGAATGGACTTTGACCTTTGTTTATGAGGACTGGCTGGCGACTCACGACTGATGACGTTCGAACACTTCCGGAACAAGTGCTTCACTGACGAATTTTGTTCGAACCACAACGCTGTAAATGCTTCACCCACGTACTACAAATACAAACAGTCGCCAACAGAACCTAAACACCTAACCTAACCTACGTTTAACTATACATAAACTTTAATATATAATACAAATATATTAATGAGAATAAACCTATTTTAAATATATATAATATGTTAATATATTATAATGTTAATTTATATTTGAGAAAATTTCCGTTTTGAATGAACAGCATGTTTAAATTGACGAATGCGTCTGTGGGGTCGACCGCTGGGAGGCCGAGCATACACAGTCCGAGGCCGAGCATAAACAGTCCGAGGCCGAGCATACACAGTCCGAGGCCAAGCATACACAGTCCGAGGACGAGCACTGACAGCCCAAGGCCGAGCACATACAGCCCAAGGCCGAGCTGTAGTTTTACCTCTTGCTTCAACTAATGATTCCACCAATATGGGCCGAAAAATTCGTACAATGTGCATTCTTCGTTTAGTGAAGTGGATATCTTAAGAGGCTATCCCTCCAGAAGTCAGGATAGCCGCGAGGAGGTGAACCCCCCCCCCCCTCCCCCTCCCCCCACCACCACGGCTGGGAGAGGGGGGGGAAGGAACCAGAGTTGCATTGCAAATTAGATTAGTTCTCCGTGCGCTGTGTGGGGGGGGGGGTGGGGGGTTAACTTTCCCTGAATCACGTTGCTTCGTAAGATGCAATGCAGAGTTTTCTTAGCATAGTTACTTTTTCTGCCTGTGTGTGTGTGTGTCCATGGTGGCAAGCAGGCAGGTAAGCAAGCAAGCAGGGAGGGAGTCAGGTAAGTTAGCAAGCAAGCATGGACACAGGTAGGGCAGCAAGGAAGCAGTGAAGCAGGTAAGTAATCAAGCAGGGAGGCAGATAGGTAAGGAAGCAAGCAAATAAGCAGGCAGACAGACAGATACAGAGAGAGACAGAGACAGACGGAGACAGAGACAGACGGACAAAGACAGACAGAGGCAGAGACAGACAGGCATCTGCAACTGGCTGGTGTATATTGGTCTAGTAAATATATTGATGTGATAAACATCAGATTACACAGAATATCCTCACATTAACCATTTCCGACTGAGCGGTTAACTAACCACACCTTAACTTAAATAACATATACGTCAAGCACTGACTCCAAAACTTTACACAAGTCAGTAATTGGACTTGTAAGTCCACGTGGCCACGTTCAAGGCTAATTACTCGTGCTTAATTACCATCCAGCCAGTAGTATAAACACACTAAATCAACGTAACTAAAACACCTAACCTAACTTTACCAAGGCCTAACTCTACATAAACTCACAATATATATAATATTTACAATTCAGAAATATTTCTTATTATACTGTATGGAAGATTATTTCTATTAAGTGGTTATGTGCTAAATATGGCGAAACTGCTCTTAGTAATATGTATCCTTGGTATTGTCCCCCACCGTGGGTCACCACCCACCGTGGGTCACACCACCCACCGTGGGTCACCACCCACCGTGGGTCACACCACCCACCGTGGGACACACCACCCACCGTGGAACACAACACCCACCGTGGGACACACCACCCACCGTGGAACACAACACCCACCGTGGGACACACCACCCACCGTGGGACACACCACCCACCGTGGGACACACCACCCACCGTGGGACACACCACCCACCGTGGGACACACCACACACCGTGGGACACACCACCCACCGTGGGACACACCACCCACCGTGGGACACACCACCCACCGTGGGACACAACACCCACCGTGGGACACACCACCCACCGTGGGACACACCACCCACCGTGGGACACCACCCACCGTGGGACACCACCCACCGTGGGACACACCACCCACCGTGGGACACACCACCCATGGTAATGCACCAACGGTGCGGTAATCCCATGTATAAATCGCTGAACAACAGAATTACCAAGAGGTTAAAGTGAAAAATACGAGACCTGGGCACTTTGGGGATCGAACGCAAACCCTGCAGGAAGCGAGGACGTCGATCTGACCACGGGTATGATAACTTCCACTGAAGTCTTTTACCCAGCATAATGCTCAAAAGATCAGTTTCAACATTAACAATATAATTAACCTGCTGGTTAATTATATAACTGGCAGCTACTGGGTATAAGTAAGGAGTTATCAGTAGGGTGAACTATAGTAGAACTGGACTGAAACAAAACATTGATTCATTATCTATGGGTGCACTTGAGAGGAGTTAAAACGCTTTGGTGCCTTCAAGAGGGGACAGAGAGGAGATTGGCACAATGCACAGAGTATGCCAGAGACACAGAGCATGCTAGAGATACAGAGCATGCCAGAGATACAGAGCATGCCAGAGATACAGAGCATGCCAGAGATACAGAGCATGCCAGAGATACAGAGCATGCCAGAGACACAGAGCATGCTAGAGATACAGAGCATGTCAGAGACACAGAGTATGCCAGACACACAGAGCATGCCAGAGACACAGAGCATGCCAGAGACACAGAGCATGCTAGAGATACAGAGCATGCCAGAGATACAGAGCATGCCAGAGACACAGAGCATGCTAGAGATACAGAGCATGTCAGAGACACAGAGTATGCCAGACACACAGAGCATGCCAGAGACACAGAGCATGCCAGAGACACAGAGCATGCTAGAGATACAGAGCATGCTAGAGATACAGAGCAAGCCAGAGATACAGAGCATGCCAGAGACACAGAGCATGCTAGAGATACAGAGCATGCCAGAGATACAGAGCATGCCAGAGACACAGAGCATGCCAGAGATACAGAGCATGCCAGAGACACAGAGCATGCCAGAGATACAGAGCATGCCAGAGACACAGAGCATGCTAGAGATACAGAGCATGCCAGAGACACAGAGCATGCCAGAGACACAGAGCATGCCAGAGACACAGAGCATGCCAGAGACACAGAGTATGCCAGACACACAGAGCATGCCAGAGATACAGAGCATGCCAGAGACACAGAGCATGCCAGAGACACAGAGCATGCCAGAGACACAGAAGACCTGCAGGCCTGGGAGCAAGTAACCAGAGAGTGGACGAGTGATTTAGAGACACGATAATGTCATGTTCTCCACCACCAACGCCTTGTTCCACAGTCCATAACGTCAGGTGAGAATGTATTGCCCTGTGATATATTGCACGTGATGGCTACATAATTTATGTGGAGGATCTGCATATGTATATATGTATATACAGACACACAACTGACAGGAGGAAGGCAGAGTAGGGAAGGGAAGCCTAGGGTCAATAGACAATGCAAAAAAGGGTAGAAATGGACCCTAAAAGCCTTAAACAACTCAGAGACAACTTGGATCAGAAAGCAGTTTAGAGGCATTAAGAGAGCCAGATAAGAGTATAACCAGATATGAGTATATGAACAAGATATATGAGCCAGATATAACAGTAAAAGCTGAGGACCAACTAAAGTCGTCGTGTAGCCCCTAAACTACACGCCCCGAAATCATCACAAGATAACCTCAAGATAGCCATATAAGAAGAAAAGTAACAGTAAGATGACCATGTTATCAGATTGAGAAAATAACGGGAAAGGTTAACACAAAACGAAAATGTGGCGCGTTACCAACACAAGAGATTTCAGGAGGTACTTGGAAAAAATAACAAAATGAGGAGATGAAGGTGGCGAGATGAGGTGTAGCCAGAAGCAGCACTGTACGACACAGTGGTCACTGTAGATACGGTGCAAAAAAAAAAAACATATGAGGGACCTAATACCACAAAATCACCGAGACCAAACTTAGCATCACCCCAGCTGCTGAAGGAACCAGTTTAAGTGGAAGAAATACATACATACACTGGTTTAAGTGGAAGAAATACATACATACACTGGTTTATGTGGAAGAAATACATACATACACTGGTTTATGTGGAAGAAATACATATATACACTGGTTTAAGTGGAAGAAATACATACATACACTGGTTTAAGTGGAAGAAATACATACATACACTGGTTTATGTGGAAGAAATACATACATACACTGGTTTAAGTGGAAGAAATACATACATACACTGGTTTATGTGGAAGAAATACATACATACACTGGTTTATGTGGAAGAAATACATACATACACTGGTTTAAGTGGAAGAAGTAC